GCCCGGCGCCAGCCGACGCGGCTCCCTCCGTGTCTGCGCCTCCTCGCTCCTCTCGACCGCCCCCCCGTGCGCAGCAGCTCTCGGAAGCCTCCCCTGTTGGAAGCACCCTGCCACGGCCCGGCCACTCTGCTGCCTGCCACGGCCAGGCCACGGAGGTGAACGTAAACACCGTTTCCTCTTCAGCACATTTTTTTGTTAGGGGGACGTGTGTCTCGCCCCGAGAGGGCTTCGGGGGACTGCGCATGTTACTGCTATAGTGGGCTGTACTCGTCGGTTCACCTGTGGACGTTTTCGAGTGTATCCGGCTCAATGTGGTCTGCCTCAGAATCGCATCGTCAAGGTGAGTGCCGCAAGCACGATGATTTCATCAAAAACGGCGAATCGCTAGACCACCAGGCTCTGAACGTCGCGCACGCGGAGCCGCAGGTCCACCAGACGGATTACGTTGAGGGAGACCACCAGCGAACTCGAGGTCAACGGCGACGGCACGATACGACGCCATCTGGGGTGACCATCAGCGGGCTGAAAAACGACGGCGATGGCATGACGGAGCTGGAGTGGTACGGCTTGATGGTTCGTGCCGCTTCCGGACAACAACGTCCAACCTCTCCCGCCCCCCTGCGGAGCCGCGCGGGCCGACCGCTGGACACGGCGCGAGTCCGGCGCAGCACCACCGTCGACTGCCGGACGCTGCTGCAGGCCCGTGCGCTCCACGGCGAGCCTCCCGAGGACACGCAGGGCCCCCGCGAGACTGGGGAGACGCAGGACTCGGCCTCGGAGTTCGAGGGGCTCGGGCCGGTCTGACAGTGCCAGCGCCCGCTGCAGACATCCCACGAACACTGGGCCGTCAAACTCCAGGACGCGCTCGTCAAGAAGCGTCGGCAAATCCGAGTTCCGGCGTCCTGCGTCTTGAGTTTCCCCGCACGGGAGGAGGGAGGCTCCGGGAACAACGTGGAGAAGGAACACGGTAGGTTCATGTGGCATCGGCGCGCGCAGAAGTTTTTGACACCGCGTCGATCGTTCAACCTTGAACCGATCGCGGCCCCGACTGTTCATGGTTGAATTCCGTCGGGTCCTGTGGCGTTGTCGTGCCCCTCGGTGCTTCCGCGTCGTTCTATCTCGCGTGGTTCAACCTCGAACGCCTTCGCTGGCGTCGCTGGCGCGGCAACGCCGCATGAGATTACTGGAGGAGGAGGAGGAGTGGGATGAGGAGGAGGAGGAGGAGGGGGAGGAGGAGGAGAGGAGGAGGAGGGAGGAGGAGGAGGGAGGAGGAGGAGGGAGGAGGAGGAGGGGGAGGACAGGAAGAGGAGGTGGAAGGAGGAGGAGGAGGAGCAAGGAAGAGGAGGAGGAGGAGGACAGGAAGAAGAGGTGGAAGGAGGAGGAGGAGGAGGATAGGAAGAGGAGGAGGGAGGAGGAGAATCACGAGGAGGAGGAGGAGGAAGGAAGGAAAGAGGAGGAGGAGGAGCACGAGGGCCCGCTCCTCGTGGCTCCGATGCTTCGATTCAGCCTCTTGGTCACCCTCAGCATCCTCACCCCTATCTTCGTGACCCTTAATTATCCTCCTCATGCTGATCATCCTCAGCCCCGTCTCCACCTCAGCCTCTTGATCATCCTACTCATTGAGATCGTGCTCCTCCTCTGCAGTCTCACAGTCGTCCGCAGGACCATCCTCATCCCCATGATCCTCCACATGAGCATCCTCATCTTCGTGACCCTTAATCCCACCAGCCCTTTGGGCGACAGGTGGTCTAAGTGTGATCTCTCTTGTTTCTTCCACAGCCCCTCTTCCCTTCGGGGAGGGGAACCCTCCCCCTCCCCTTCCTGAGGTTTTTTGGGGGGTTTCGCGAGGTGTCGGAGGCTACTTTTTCGGTCAAGGGGAGAGCCAATCTTTGACACCCCTCACGAGGATCGTAGCCCCCGAGAGGGGGACGAACATCGAGGACCCTCCCTCTTTTGACCGACCGCCTCCAAGATGGCCCCAAGAGGCCCTCCCAAGAGGCTCCAAGAGGGCTTCAAGATGCCCCAGAGAGGCCCCCAAGAGGCCCCCGAGCGGCCTCAGAGAGCCCAAGATGACCACCAAGATGTCTCAAGATAGCCCAAGCTGGCTCAAGATGGCTCCCAAGATACTCCAAGAGGCCCCAAGACCGCTCCAAGATGGCTCGAGATGGCCACGAAGCCTCCTCAGGAGGCCGCTCAGAAACCCAAATCCTTCCAAAACCTCGGGCTGGAGATGGCCCCAACACGCCGTCCAGGCCGGTCTCCCTCGCTGCTTGACTATGCGTGTCTCTCCCTCTCTCCTCCCGTCAGCTCTCATGGGCATCGTTTCTGAATGGGCTGTCGGGGATACTTTTTGGTATGCCGGCGCGCGAAGCTAAGTCGAACGCCGAAGACAGCGAACTGGTGAAGACACGCGAAGCGTCAATAGTAATTCTCCTCATGCTGATCATTTTCATCATCATCCTCAGCCCCGTCTCCACCTCAGCCTCTTGATCATCCTACT